GTTTACTAGGAATGAGTTAGGGTCAGGGATTGGAGGAATTAATATTTTTCGTTCTGAGAACGAAAAAACAAGTGGGACGCGGTAAATAATTATCGTTGCGGCCAAATTTTCCAACGCCTGTTTATTTAACGTTCATTATCATTGACCCAATAGGTACATAAAACGGCGGTGACTGCTGTCGCAGAATAATTCCCATAACAACAATCGGCGACCGTTTTTTACATAAAACAATGCGATCGACGTGCCGGCCGGCCGTTTCCTTCGTTAAGTTGAGCCTCTTTCTCTATTCTTCCCGATCCGTTTAGATAGAAAGCACATAATAAAACAACAGCGTGTATATTGTTAACCCAGTCGATGCGTCGGCGATTATTCTGCGTACACAATATAAAAAAATCAACGCAACTAAACAGTATTAATTCGTACATAAGATAATACAGCGGTGCATGTATAATATGCTAATCCGAACTGCTCCCATTCCACGGAACATCGGCCGCCTGCATTTGCCGATTGCGGTGTACCGGTTCTGTGCACTCGACGCCGCCGCCGCCGCAAAATCTGCACACAGCCGAGCATTATTATAATGCATTCGAATGCGTCGTTTGTTGTCGTCCGCTGCAGCGGCCAGTTCAATCGCGGACAACGTTGCCGTCCAGGTTTGCCAGTACGCCCAACCCGAAAGTCCACATATTAACACCGTACGTGTTGTGTTCACGCGCACGCTAATGTGTTAACACACTCGTCAAGTACGCCGTCGCAGGCGTTGCGGTGTGATACTCTCCGGTGAATTATTCGTTACCGTACAAGTGTGCGCAACCCGTCGGCCGTAACCATCGCAGAGGTAGCGCCGCCTTTTCCTGTGCGACTATATCGAATTGCCGGGGCGCAATTATGTTTTTTACCGTCTCTAATAGAGTTATCCGTTGTATTAGGTTGTCGTTCGCTGAACAATCGGTGCAAACGCTGATGATTTCTTAGAGGATAAAAAAACCAGATTGTCGTACAAGAGAAACAATTTAAACGAACGGCATTATCCCCTTGGCAACCATCTCGGTCGACATCTGGATTGCCGTATTTTCCATCCTTTCGTTCGTATTTTTATTATTTCTACAGTTTTTTTGTTTTATATTAATATTACACACCACGCGGACCGCAAAAACTTCATCTCCGCGTCGCCTAACTCGGCGTGTGCGTGAAAATAAAAAACATTCATTATAATGTGTGATCGCACGTCAACCGTATGTATTTATAAAGAAACTCCAGAGAACAGAAAATATCCATTGTGACGCTGAGGAACGGGACGGGTACAAGAGGAGAGGGTTAAGAGCCATATGGTTCTTGGTTTGTATGAGTGCGTATGTTATAATAATAACACAGTCGGCAGAAATCTCTCGTGTGCGCGCAAGTGTACGTATAAAAGGATAAAATATATATATATATATATCTATATATCTATATACATATTAATTAAAAAAAATGATAATAATAATTCCCCCATACCCCGAACGAGAGATAATAATATTATAAACACTGCACGGGAGGAGATTTTTTTTTTTTACCAAAAGGAAAGGTTTATGGTTCCCATATTGTATACCAACAGCACACGGCGGCCACGTGAATTATGTCTTTGTTTGTTCTCGGCCGCTTTTTCGGCGTTTCCAACGTATTACAGACATTGCTGTTTTCGTATCGACGTACAATATTAATTTTTTTATCCGACCACAGTGTAGCAATGCGTCGTGTGTTGCATGTCGGCGATCAGTAAAGACTTAACGCAATAATAGTTTTCCTCTGTTCCGATAAAGACCCAACCGTCTCGACTGTAACGCCGAGACAGTCGATCGGCCAACACATTAGATGGTTGTTACGATCGCCACGGGCCTATTTCCATCCGGGTGCTCGAGAGTTAATCACAACAATAATAAAAATAACAGTTGATTAATATATATATATATATTCATTTTAATAGCTTATAGATTTTTATTTTTATTACAAGAAATATCCGTCGTCATTACATGCACTGCAGGCACTCCCAGTGGCGCACTCACGTTCAAGTGGGTCGACTGGATTCCACTATGTTTGTTTTTCATATAATCGTTCAGCTTTTATCGAAACGCATTTTTCGGGTAAAACAATATTGTTTTTTTTTTTTTTTTTATCGTGCAATTATTAATTTCCGCATATTTGTAGCGGGAAAAAAAATCAGTAAATTTGTGGAATTATAACAAAACATTCGGTAACTATAAAATTAAACATGTAATAATTGAGTTTTTTACGAGGGTTAAAATAAACGCCCAACTCGTTTGCCCCGTCGTCGGTTATTAGCTGCATCGCCTACGTATTTCAAAAATGTATTGTTCGTTGATATTTTGACTCATATCCAATGGAAATCTGCATCGTGCGTTTCATCATTCCGTTTGATTTTTATTTCATAGTGATCGCTCACTTATTGTGGGTTATGATTTTCGCATTAAAAAACCATATCCGTAATTAAGTAAAACATGGGAACGGTCGGCCGCAGGCAGTGCATTAATGTAAAGGTTATACGCCACAGTGACTTGTATGCGAAAAAGCCAGTTTCGGTGAAATGTAAAACTTTATTAGCTCGTGAGGCGTTAACGTCCTGACTTTAGTTGAAATGCACTTAATATTGCTTGCAGGGAATGTCGGCGAATAAAATAAAAACAAATAAAACACCGATTACCGGTAATGAAAAAACCACACACACACACACACAGTCACGCCGATGTTACTACGCCTCCGTTGATAATCTCGCAACGATTTAATTATTTTATTTTGAAAATATTACAACTGTCGACAACACTGAGCTGTTTATTGGGCAATTAATACATGACGACAAAATCATTTTTGTACAATACGCGCCATGTGTGTTCACAATGACGGACGTTCATCGAATGCCAAAAAATTCCGAGTAGAAATAAAAAAAAAAATCTGGTTTTTCAAGCGTTTCGCGTAAAATTTTGTAATCGGTTGTAAAATTCATCTCATGTTATTATTTGGTTGTACGTCATCCGGACACGGTAGGTGGGAGTAAAAACGCTGTAAAAACAAATACGCGTATATACTAATTTTTTACTGGAATGTTATGTTCGGGCAACGGCGTACAGATCACAGCGACACACGGCGCTCTATCAGATACACATGTACTATTTGTTCACTGGCACAGAAAGAACAAACAGTAGCTCTGTCGTAAAGAAGAAAAACCCGCGCCCATATCCGGTGCATCGCAACACTGTGTACCCTTAAACGTGTAAAAATATGAGTAAACACGAAAAAACCAAATTAACCGTTTCCCGTGTCCTTCCGCGGTAGTAAAACTATTATTATTTTCAGTTTTATCCGAAATCCTCCGCAGTTGTTGCGCCTAAACACGGGCTACGTCGTTTTTTATTCCATACGCCTACCGACAACCAGTCGGGCAGACCCGAAAGCGCCGAAAGGAACGTTTAGAGTCTAATAAGAGTAAGGACGCGGAGTGTAATACCGTCGTTTTAATAGTGAGAACGTACTCGAATTTTAGACTTATTTAATCAAACGTCAGTGTCTTTTATATGTCCGTTCGGTTGGGTGTCGAAGCTGATAAACGGATTTTTATTAGTTTGCTCGAGCGAGCAATGAAATTTGTCACTCTATTTTTTTTTTTTTTAATAGCAACTGGCACATGATGACTACGCTCAGTAATATTTTTCAACGAAAACCGTTCAAGAAATTACGCGATTTAAAATTAGTATTTCTTAAATTAGTGTTTTCTCGAGTTGCGCGTGTGAGGTAATATAATGTTATGGGTACACGACGAATGTTTGAAATAAAAAAATGAAAACGTTTTCGATTCGGTTTTTGTTTTTCAGCGTCAAACGAGTGTTGACGACGAAAAAAAACTGTATTTTTAACAAATATTCAGCACAGGTAATAGGTCGAAATATAATATTTATTATTTCAGTGTAATTGTGTTTATATTTGGTCGATTTCCTGTGTACAGGTGCGAAAATGCGACTTCTTTCCGGAAACAAAAAAAAAAACAAATAAAATTGAAATTCTACGCATAAAAACTGCGACCGTAAGCACAGCGATCGTTACGAAATCGAAATAAAAAATCGACAATAAGAATTCAGAAAAAAAAAAATCAAATAACTGTGGCGACGTTAATTCCTTTTTAACCGCGTTCATTTTATTCGTTCCATTTCCTATGCGATTTTTATTTTTTTTATGTGCCTACAATATTATATGTTGGAAGAAAAATTTTTATCCAATAATTTCATAAGCGCATGTAACCGGAGAACATCAGCAGTATTTTTATGTGTATTTAATTATTTCATTTTTTATTTTATTTTATTAAAAAGAACGTTTCAGAGATAACGAGACGTGATAATTACACGTTTAGGTCAACTATAGACGCACCTGGTCTACTTAAATTTTTTTTTTTTTCGTGTGTTGTTCGGATTCATATTTTTTAACAGACCAACGCGAATTTATCGGTTATTTATTATTATTTTTTTTTTCATTTAATTTTACACCGATGCCACTTCACGTCCGACAACGTTACGTGCGAGATAAGGTCGGATTTCGCGAATTTCAACAAATTTCCTCAACGCGCCAACGACCGCAATTATTTTAATGTTAATTTTATCAAAGACACAATTGCGATTCTCACACTACAACAATCGTATTTTTTTCCCGAAGCTTTCCACCTGATAGGAAGTTGGATGGTATTTTTTCAACAATTCAAATTTGCTAATCTCTTAAACACACTTTGAACTTTTAGAAGATAATCGCTCTTTTTACCGAGAAGTTCAAATCATGGTTCGCGTGCACGGGGTACGTTGAGACTTAACAGAAAACTTAACGATTATTATCAACAACGGCGACCGGTAATCTCACTCGGTCAAGTAGATAACATTCGTGTAAATTTATTAATAATATGCCCGTTGAAATAGTTAATAAAATATGTGAGACTTGATTATTAAATTGTATTCGTTACTTACAATAGCAATTTTTGTGTGGTGTGCAGTTACATATACACACGCCGCTCTGGATACGCTGGTCGGGTCCACGATGACAGTTGCACAAATAATGAACTGTATAATACAATTAAATATTTAGAAAATTCACGTTTACCGTGAATACTATGGTTAATTAACAAACAAATAACAAATTAAAAAACAAACAAAAAAAAATATATATCAAATCGATCGTAAATGTCAAGATTTTCAATAAATACAGGTGTTGTAACATACGCGAGTAAATTACATAGATTTAGTTATTTTTCAACTTTTTAAAGAGCGGCACATTTGTGCTCGGTCGGTCGGAAAATTCGCACTGATCTTTTCGTACGATAACCGTGTCAGAAAGTGTACGAGTAAAAATCCTCTCGACAGTCGTCCCGCAGACTGGCCGTTATTACGCACTGTTTTTTTATTAATAATAATTTTTTTATTCGCACTTATTTGGCTACGACGGCGGCAACGACGACGACGACGACGACGACGACTACGAGTAATCCCGCGGTGCGTTTCTCGTGTGTGTCGGGTGGCGGTGCCAATGCGGTGGCCAGGTGACACTGAAATGTAAAATTCGAAAAGCAGGAAACCCTTCGTATCCCCACCGAAGCGGCGGCGACGGCGCCCGATCGGCCGACCCGGACCGCCCGCCCTCCCGTCGCCGGACCGCCGTCTGGGCGCGGCTCGTTCGCGCGAGCAGGGGAACGGATTTTCGAGTCCAATGGCCACACGTCTCGCCGGTTCCCTCCAAAAAAAAATATATTCGAACCCACCTAAATTAACTCTACAATATTATTATTATTATTATTTTTTAACGTTAAATCACTCCGTCAGATCATCGCTGGATTACCAGTGTACGACGTTAACGGATTTCCAACAAGTCGGACTACACAAATCGAATTTGTTAGCGCGTTATTAGCGAAAATTCATCGCGTCCGTTGAGGATCTGATTGGGTTGGGTCGTTGGAGATTTTTTTACGACAATACCGTATTTTCATCTGGTTTTGTAAACGCCTCTGGATTGACCGACACGGGAAAAATTCAATCAAACTCTGTTATTGCACTCTGCCGGTAGTAGCAGATGTGGTTGCCTATCGAAACTGATCCGGTACTAGAAATATTTTCGGGTGCATTTACGCGTTGTAATTAAAAGAACGTACAATCATTTAGAAGGTCAACGGCTTCTGGACTCCGTTTAAACATTGTACGCTCCGAAATAACGCGACGTGGACGTACAGACGCCACTGTAAAAGATATTATTGTATTTTATTGTTGTGGAATTTTTTTTTTTCGTCGGGAAATACGTTGATCTCATATTTTGTCTGTGAAATTAATTAAAATCCAATCCACATTCTTTTTGATATTCGGCCGCAGGCATATTGTTTGTCTGTAACATGCGTACAAATTTGGAGAATCGATAATGTTTTACGGTGCGGCGTTTTCATTGACTGCGTCTTTTGTCCAAATCTCTAGAGATTGGACCGATCTCCGAATGTTGACAAATCGAAACCGCACAAATTGGTCACCGTTCGAGAGTTTTGGTCCGTGCGATTGAAAAATTAGTAATCTCAACGGTTGACGAAACAAAAACCTATTTTTAACTACTCGCATAATACTTTTTCACGTTTGGAATAACGTATTATTATTTCATTGGACGATGATAATAAGTACGTTAAACGTATTCAGCGGCACATCCCGAATCGCCGTGCAATACGAATCGGAAGCATAAAAAAGGGTTACTATGCGTTTTGTAAGGATTTAATTCGTTTTGCTCTTCGAGTAAAAGGATTTCGAAAGGAATCAGAGTTATGCAATTTAACGGTCACTCTCAGGTATTCTCTGTGTGCACAAAAACCCGGGTCGCATGCACATCGCAAGTAAAACTAGGGTCAAGTGTGCGCAGTTGTAAAAAAATAATGAAAACTAGGTTAGATATGTGCAAATTTTGAATTGCGAATAAAAAAAAAAACTGGTTTGAAGTGGCTAATTTTTGTTGTTCGGTAACCCTACACAATGCGGTAGCCCCTCCTTTTTCATTTACACCCATATGAATATTTTAATGGGATTTCTATTGTCATTCAGATATTAAAAAGGCTGGCGGTGTTTGATGGTGGGCAACAATAAAAATATATCATCTAGAATATTATTATTTTTACTATTATTATTATTATTAATATGCATGCGTGTGAGTATAAAATATAAAAAGAAAATCGTAATAATATCACGCGTAACTTTTGGCCTAAAGACATCGGGATTGCTTTTATTGTAAAATCGTAAAACACAATCCAAAACTAAAAATGAAATCATGTCCGATCACATAGCGAATTCGTCAGAGTAGAGGCACAGAAAAACCAACGTTGAAATAACTTCATATTTACTATTGAAAAATATATGTTTTACCAGAAAAAAAATAAGATAAATTTTCATATTGAATTATTATGTAATCAATATACCTCAACTTTATGCGCACCGACGTTGATTAAAATAATTTTATATCTAAAAATTAAACCGACTAAATTATTACATAAATCGAATTTCAAGAATTATCGATGTTAATTAAATTTTTTTTAAATCAAGACACTTTTGATAAAATACGGACAAAAGTCAGATAATTTGTAACGATCACGTACACGTATATACTTATAACAGAATTTTTTGTGTTGTAAAATTTAATTTTCGTGTACATTTCGATTCCTTGTATCTCTTCACGACTTCACGGTTATGAAATTGAAAATATGAATCATTATTCCCAGTTAAGTTATGCATCACATTTATTATTGTTAATACATGTAATATTTTATTCATAAGTTTGATGTCAATAGAGAAAATTGCATTTTTAAAGAAATTTTACGATAAACCAACTGACAATTTTGCAGACGGTGTGGAATAGATTTTTTTTTGTAAAATTCAGTTATTTAAAATGAATAAACTTTGAATAATCATTTTATTTTAGGTGCGCGTGAAAACATTTTCTAGAAAAGTTATGGGTCACCAGTCTAATACGTTTTGTTGTTCAGACAGAAAATTATTGAAATGTGTCGCTTTTTACCACCGCACCCAGGTCAAAGGTGTACAATATACAAGTGCATGCATAACATTATGGATCGACGTAAGTTATTCGGTATTTATGTCGAATGTAATACACACAATTAAAAAAAGGGCAAAAAGTCTGTAAACGTTTCCGTTTCGTTCGATACCAAACGTACACATAAACGAAAATAATAACTATTCTCCGTGTACACGTACAAAACTAGTACAATAAGTCTTAAACACCGGCAGGAGGTTCACGACGTTGTTCGGTGGTTAGACGGGGTTGGGATATAATTGATTGATATTTGGACGTACTCGATGGTATCTTGTATTCTATTTTTACATGTACAATGTATAATACTTTCATTGTTGTTTTGTAGACGCACAAGAAAACGATTAGAGGTTAACCACGATGACTTCGGAAAAGTTATAATATTTCATGTTTTTTTACACTACACGTGCAATGGAAATAATTCCACTAAGCTTCCGAGGAGAAAACCTCGTATGGTACAAACATATGATCTCGATTCGGTGCGCTTGAATGTGATGTCTCACATTTATTTGTTGTACACAGTGTGTGTGTGTGTGTGTGTGTGTAATGTTAAAGCAAATATTATTACAGTCCACCTACATAGTATATTTTTCTGAGTGTGAATATTGTATCCTGTACTTGTTATGTACAAGATAATATCTCATGCTGTACACTTCTAAATCCAATTATATGACTGAATAACGTAGTAATCGATAGTTTTAAATATAATTATATATTCGAGCCCGTGAAGTGATCAATTAATCATTAGTTTAGTCTTTAGAGATAGTCTCTGGTTAAAAATGTATTTATTCTTGAATTTGGATACAAAGCGCGTTATTAAAACATCTTGAGATTTTTTCGGCCTCGAAATATCATTTCTTAATAAAATGTACTACGGGCTAACACATCAATATAATTTACATTTTTTTAATTTTAAAGTTTTATGACTCACACGCTCAAGTGTCGGCGAATGACTACTAATTATTATTATTTTTTATATACTATTTAATAACTTAAATTTAATAAAATGAGACTATAATATCAACTGTTTAGTTTTATTTGCTAAAAAGTTGGTTTTTATAACCTTTAGTGGTATTTCTTTAGAGATATTACGTAAATTCATCTCAACACGACTATTGTGCTGATTGCTGTAAAATTCTATCTATCTGATTTTTATGTTCATTTTTTTTTGTCTAAAAAAGTGGGTAATTATTTTAAAAACTCAAGATCGATATTCTTAGAATTGATACCAACTAATTGAAGTTTTACATCTTATCAAGTGTTAAATAATTAGAATCAAAATTTGTGCGTCTAATACGCGTTGAATACATTTTATTTTTTGTAATATTTATATATTTTTATTTATAGAAATTATTCAGTAGTTTATTTTATATCAGTAGTTGTGTGGTGCTTGGTCAATCATTAATCGATAAGATTGATATGAACAAAATCGGTTGTAATTTTTAATTCAGATAAAACGCAGCTGCTCTGTAACTTGACACTTCCATTAAAAAAAAAAAACAAAAATAAATTGAGCGTATTCACGTTCTCCAGGTTTAGACTTTTTCGGATATTAAATATACTGTAGAGTAGGACGAGTTGAAATAATACAATTTACGATATCAATGACTCGTTTTATTATTTTTAACAATATGTTAACAACATATAATAAAAACCGAAGAATATAAATTGGTGTATGTGCGTTCCGACTCGAGGAATAGGGTTTGGCTTCAATTAACAATATTTTTAAACGACCGTAGTATACACACATTATGCGAGTATAAAAATACAGATGCTTCTTCATATTTATACATTGACATGTTTTTGTTGGAATAAAACGTCGATTAGAATGGAAAAAAATACATTCACACAGACAAATAAAGTACCGACATAAATTCCAATTTCTGGACACATATCATTTCTTGCCGTTTCCAAGTATGAAATGCGCTTTTAGTATTATGAGTTCGCATATTGTACATAAGCTTATACAGAAGTCAGTGCCAAATATTTGAATAGAAAACAAAATGGTCTGGATCGAGCACGTCGTTAAAACATACACAATGACAAGTATAACAAATTGTTTATTATATTTTTACTCGTTTTAAAAAAAAAAAAAAAAAAAAAATTGTAACTAAAAACAAATCGTATGGCAAATTTCTCATTTATTATTTTGCCAACAATTTTTTTAACCATGTTTTACATTCCGTTTTGTTATCTCACAAGAGGGTTAATTATTACGATACAGTTTGTGTATTTATCCGTTCCGTTGATCATTTCATTTGCCCCTCGTACAGCCATTAGGTCTGCACTATTTTTTATAAATTAATATTGTATATACGTGTGTTCGAACAGGCAATAATTATCGGGATGGAAAAAAACAGGAGAGAAGAATAAAAATTATGTATTGTATAATAATAAAACACAAGGGACGCCAGATGGCCGCTGACAATGTTTCAAATTAGAACTGTGTGTTCGCTCATCCTCTTTTACTGTTCTATCTCTTTT